ATGGGTGACTCTGGAATCCTGAGAATCTCTCTAACCCTCGAGCTCTACAGCCTGTAGTCATGGCCTCTGAATGCAAAGTGTATGAATCTGTGCCCCGGGTCAATACAAAGTGAAGAGTAGAACTCACGGACCCATGATGGAACATATCGGCCAGTCCATCCAAGTAGGTCTGTCAACCCTAGCAGATATGATAGATGGGGACGAATCTGCTCGCCTGCTGCTGCAACAAGTGACTCAATAGAGCAAACTCTCTGTGATCTGAAAGCCACTCCACTGTTCAGATAAGCATTGTAGAAGTCCTCCTGTAGTGGTGTATAGAAGTGCTCTGAAGCACGCTCATCCCACCTCTGCGGAAACCAGTCCTCGAACTACACGAAGCGGAGCTACGACACCTGCTTGGTTGTGGTTGCCCTCAGGTCAAGGTGAGTCACTGGAGGCGGACCCTGTGGTCTGGGAGGCAGATGAGAACCCCTCCTCTGTGTCTTAGGCCTCGGTGTCACCTGGGTACGAGTATGACTAGAGCGTCAAAGTTGTGGCTGAGGTACCTACTCTGTCTCCTCGGTCTGCTCTGCCTCCTAAGTCTGCTCTGTCTGCGGGGTACCCTCTAACTGCTCTGCTGGCTATGTCTGCTGCTCAATAGTCTCCTCCTGAGGCTGAGTCTCCTCTAATGCGACACACCATCCTTCAAGTATGACAGTCCTAGCTAGACTACCATGACATCTCTCAACCCTCTCGATGGTGGCCCTCTGTGCTGGTGAAAGCTGATCTACAATACGAACACCACCCTGACCTCCTCCACTCTTTGCACGCTCTGCGGCGACTGCCACTGTTGCTGCTCTCTCAGCCTCCACATCAACAAGCTTCTGCTTCTTTGTTGTGGTCTTCTTAGCCTTGCCTTTCTCCTGAGCAGACAGGCGAGGCGGAGGCCTCGGATCCTCATCACTAAGACCACCTTCGGCATTCTTGACACGTGACATTGCTAGAGCTATAGAGAATTACTACTACTGCCAAGAACCGACTGCCAACTGATACTTCCGAGGCTTGGCCTCGATCTGTACTACGGGCTTGGCCCTGAGTTAACTGACCACTGCAAAATCAACCTCAAGAACACCGAATCGCTACACGATGGAATAGATATGATATATAAATAATCACAATATACATCTAGAGATGTGAAACCCTAAGAAGCAAGCAGTAGATATGAAATTAGAGGCGATGGCTTGCTACCTGACGAACCGGCGAACCGACGACCAATTAGCAGAGGAACGAATCATGAGGCACCACCGGGAAAACGCCTACGGTTAGGGTTCCCGCGCGAAGAGGTTCGGCGACCGTGAAGATGCAGGGCAGTGCAATGTAGGCTTGGATTACGGCAAGGCAGAGGCGCTGTGGCACGGCGACGCAGGCACAAGCTAGGGCACGGGCGCAGCGGCGCTGTTGTGGCAAGGGAGGCGTAGGCGGCGGCGTTGGTATGCTACGGGTGCAGGGAGGCGCAGTGCGGTGTGGGACAGCGGCGCTGCAGCGGTGCGGGCGCGACGGCGCTAGGGCACGGGCATGCAGCGCTGCTACGCGGCGCGGCAGCGTGGAGCAAGGCGCGGTATAGACGTGGATGCAGGCAGGCAGCGTGGGCACGACTACGTGGTGGCGGAGCTGCAGGAAGGCAACGCGGGCAGGCGGCGTGGCTAGGCGGCACGAGCAGGTGGCGTGGGCAGGCGGCTAGGGCAGGCGGCGCTGCTGCGGCTAGGGCACGGCGCTGGCGTGGTTGGCTGCGATGGCGAAGTCGGCGTGGGTTAGGGCAGAACACGAGCGCGGCAGTTAGGGTTATATGGTGGGCCCCCGTGACGGATAAGAAAAGGAAAGGAATAGAGTCCTAGATCCAACCGTTTTCTGTTGACCGGACGCTCCGGTGGCAACGATCGGACGCTGCCACCTAGAGTCTGGTCGACAACAGAGAGGTCCAAAACCTCTCAAGTCATGACCGGACGCGTTCGGTTATCCCTGACCTGACGCAGCCAGAGTCAGGTCAATCCCGTGTTCATCTTCTTCGCTTGACCAGATGCAGGGACACCATCTGACCGGACGTAGGAAAGGTACTGTTTTGGCGTTCGGTCACTTCAGTGTAGCAACGGTGTTCACCTCCTATGAACTGATCGAATGCTGGAAGCAAAGTCCGGCCTTGCGTCCGGTCGTCCTTTTTCAGCAAATCTTCAATTTTCCTTCGCGCTGCCTATTCCCAATAAAGTCTCAACTTCAATAAGACCCAAATAAACACTAATTGGGACTGATGTGAGTGACCTCTCTCAAACCCTCAAATTTTTCAAAATATTTTACTTTAGGATATACTTCTTTTTAAGAAAATAGGCAATAAAAGGGTAATCGAAATGAAACGACAAAACAACACACATGCATATGCAATGCAATACTTGAAAGTAATTCTAGTTGCTTGTCAAGTTTGATCCAAGGTTAAGCTTCTTCATACGCTTTTCGATGGTTATGTTAACCATGTTAGACAAGCGTTAAGTGCATTATCAAAAATTAAACATGATGTATGTTACAATACAATGCCAGGGACAACACAAGCTCATTTTCTAGCGGTTTAGTGAAGATATCCGTCAATTGATCCTCGATCCTTACACCTTCTAGTGATATATCATTTTTAGCAACATGATCTCTAAGAAAGTGATGGCGGATATCTATGTGCTTGGTGTAAGAGTGTTGAACTGGATTATTAGCAAGTTTTACCGCACTCTCATTGTCACACAAAAGATGTACCTTTTCTAGAACTACACCATAGTTTAGCAAAGTTTGCTTCATGTAAAGTATTTGTGCACAACAAGCACCCGCGGCAATATATTCCGCTTCGGCGGTGGACAAAGCCACACTATTTTACATCTTGGAAGACCAAGACACTAGTGATCTACCAAGCAAATGGCACCCTCCGAATGTTCTTTTTCTATCAACTTTGCAACCGGCATAATCCAAATCGGAATAGCCAACTAATTAAAATCTAGCTCCTTTGGGATACCAAAGGCCAATGCTTGGTGTGTGTTTAAGGTAACTAAGGATTCTTTTAACGGCAACCATGTGAGCCTCCTTAGGACTAGCTTGAAATCTAGCACACATACACACACTAAATATGATGTCGGGCCTAGATGCGGTCAAATATAACAAGCTATCTATCATAGAGCGATAGAGAGTTTGATCAACCATTTTACCTCCCTCATCTAGGTTGAGATGTCCATTAGATGGCATTGGTGTCTTGATTGGCTTACATTCATCCATGAAGAACCTCTTGAGAAGATCCTTGGTATACTTTTCTTGAAAGATGAAAATCTCTTTTCTCATTTGCTTGACTTGAAAACCAAGAAAAAATATAAGCTCTTCAATCATAGACATCTCGAACTCTTTCGACATCAATTCACCAAACTCTTTGCAAGAATCTTTATTTGATGATCCAAATATAATATCATCAACCTATACCTGACGAATAAAGATCTATCCAGTGTGCATGGACCTCCCGAGCTGCCAGCAAACTCGATCAGTTTCACACTGGCTACTAGGTGACGCCACGCTCAACCACCAGGACGCGTCGCTCGATCGATGACCGCAAACGTTTAGCGACATCACCTCCGTGTCCGTCCCATCTATCACAGCAGAATGCCAGAATAGAAGCATCGATCGATCCCCCGGCCGGCGCGCGGGAGCGAAAGCTCACGCCGTGGATGATGCTACACGTGCGCGCTCGCGCGCCCTTGTTGGCGTCCGTCGCAGAGTGTGATCACGCGGAAGAAGGGAAACAACCACCAACTCCGCCTTAGACGCCGCAGTTGCACTCATGCTACCCAACGCCTACTTACCGTCTAATGCAGGGCTGCAGGCGCCTGCTAGTACTGTTACGAGGGTGTTTGGGACTGCTCATCTCTACGTTCCGGCCGTTTGATTTCAGCGCGCCCTGGAAAAAGGTGACGGACGACCAACCGCGCCACCTGCGACGAAAGCGTACGTTGCGTTTTCACCATCAGACGAGACGCCACCGGACGTGCTCACACTCGAACCGCACGCTCGAACTCGATCGAGCTTACTAGGATGCAGTCACTGTCAATGACTCAACGCTGCGCTTACACGTACAATTAATTACTCCCCCACGCTCTTGTGGGTCACTCTCGCAATGCTTTTTGATCCGCCACGTGCTACTCGTGCATCTCGTGCCCGCCTGCGGCACTGGTATATACAGAGGCTCTCAAGTGTCCCAGCTGCACCAACCAAAGACAGCTTAGCTGCAGTAGTAGTGCACAGCTGAGAGCAGAGCCACGGTCCCAACTCAAGATGGCAACGGGTACGTACCCGACGGGTACTGGCCACCCGTACCCGCACCTGTCAGATTAAAATCTTACCCGTCGGGTTACCCGTACCCGCAGACGGGTAGAAAATTCATTCCATACCCGCACCCGACGGGTAATTCTTACCCGACGGGTAATTCTTACCCGACAATATATCCGAGTTCACACACCAAAATATAATAGCTTCCAGCAAAACAAATCAACAATAGAACAGCAAAACAGAAATATGGGCCGGTGGAGTGGAGTGAGGATGAGGATTAGGGTTTGAGAGAGTTCTAGAATATATATACTCATATGCTTATATGGGCTAAATATGGGTTATATGTTTATATGGGCTAAAATTGCAGAGGTTGGATATTATTTATGCGGATTTTTTTACCCGCGGGTATGCGGGTATGGGTAGTATACACCCACACCCGTACCCGCATACCCGATGGGCACAAGAATTCGTCCAATAACATACCCGCGGGTGTAAAATATCTTCCATACCCGTCTCCTTATCGGGTAAAACCCGTCGGGTACTCAGGTTTCGGGTACCCGTTGCCATCTTGAGTCCCAACTCCCAAGTTACCAGAGCTCTCCGGTCCATTACACGCACGGAGACCAGCGCGCTTACTTGGTGGTACTGGTACGGTGTACGCGGCTGAGCAGCCGCGCGCCATGGCCTTGGACGCCAGATCCGTGCCGGCGGTGTCCGTCCCCGACCTCGACGTCGGCATGGCGACCAGGCGGTCGTCGTGGTCCGAGAACAGCGCCGACGACGGGTCGTCGTCCGCGGCGGCAGCAGCGTCGTCCGTCGATGTGCCGGTGCTGTGGTGGAGCGACGAGAGGAGGATGAAGCGGGAGCTGCTGGCGTGGGCCAAGGCCGTTGTAAACATGGCCATTAGCGAATCGATGCAGCGCTGACTACACGATATTTCTCCTCAAAAAAGAAGTCCTCGCTTGCCGCCCCCACACCTTGATTGCTAATCCATCGATATGGACCTTTTTGTACAGTGTATTTCTCTCCTTTTTTGGAAAGTATTGTTATGCCCTAGATACTCAGGAATGGAATTCAGGGGATATGTAGCAAGAATTTGGGAGGGATTTGGGAAGGACCGAAGGAACGCGGCTGACTCCGCAAAGACGATGATAGTAGTTCAGAAGAAACGGTTTCAGAGTTTGTTACCGGTTGGTTACCCTTCCCTGTTCCCTCTCTTCGGCTTTTTTTCCTCAAATACGCAAAAGGTTTACGCATGCTTGTATTATGTAGGAGATTGTTTTTACAGGCGCGCTAGGGAGGATAAGAGCTATACATTTAGCATAGCCTCCCTAGCAGAGATTACACAGCCAACTACTCACGCACTAGACAACCGAGGTTGCTCGCCCCCGCATCGATCCACTGATCGGCGACTTGCTTGACAATTGATAGCACCTGGGGTAGAGTGGAGGCGTTGTTGTGGAAGCATCTCGCATTTCGCTCTTTCCACAACTCCCATGCTACCAATGCGAAGAGGGAGTCCGTTCCCTTCCTTTTGTTGCCGGTCCAGCACAGCCTCCATGCGTTCCACCTGGCTAGAATGGAATCTCCGCCGATCTGAGATGCGTTCGCCCCGAGCACGGCAAGGATGTTCCACCATACCTGCCGGGAGAAGGAGCAAGAAGCGACGATGTGGTCAGTGGTTTCCGGCTCTTGATCACACAGATAGCAGTGATCTGGGGCGTCTAGGCCGTGCCGTCTCCTCCTCTCAGCTGTCCAGTGACGCCTGCGGAGAGGAAGCCATAGGAAGATCTTGACTCGCAGTGGCGCCCAAGTCTCCCAGATCCTGTCACATCCCGGTATTGGGTGTGAGGCTGAGTGCAGGGCCAAGTATGCTGAGCGTGAAGTGTATATCCCATCCGCCGTCCATCTCCACACCAACCGGTCCTCAGCTTCTGAGAGTTGGACATCTCGCAATTCATCCCAGATGCGTAGGTATTCAGCCATCGCCGGAGCCGTGACTCCTCCCCTGATCTGGGTGATCCAGGATCGGTTGAGCAGCCACCGTCGTGTCGCGGATGTGCCTCCGGCTGATCATACTTGCCAGCGTCGGCGCGAGGTCGCGGATCGCCTGACCCTGCAGCCATCGCCCTGTCCAGAACTTTGTTGATCTACCGTTCCCTATGACGGTATAGGTGGATGCATCGAAGAAAGCCTGGACTTCGCTGGCCACGGAAATTGGAAGGTTGGACCATGCCCGCTGCTCATCTGTATGTTGTAGCCATAGCCAACGTGCCTGCAGCGCTATGGTGGTAAGGCGGAGGTCTGGGATGCCAATCCCTCCCAGTTCCTTTGGCCGGCAAACCGTGGGCCATGCGACCATGCATTTGCCCCAAATGGATCCCTCCTTTCCGGTCCAGAGGAAGCGCCTGAAAATGGCGTCGATCTCCCTCTGTGCCCATGGTGGTAGCCCATCCGCAATGACGGTGTAGATGGGAATCGCCGCTAAGACGGACTTGATCCATATGAGTCGCCCGCTTTTCGCTATCAGTGGCCCGTGGCATGCCGGCAGTCTTCTTGCTACAGCATCAATGATCGTCTGAATCTGCCTCCTGGGAACTTTCCGTGTGCTCAACGTTAACCCGAGGTATGTGATCGGGAATTCAGAGAGCTGGCATCCCAGGATTGCCTATAGCTGTGGTTGATCGAGCATAAATGGGTGTGATCGAGCATTTGCTGAGGTTGGTTTTGAGGCCGGACACCTGACCGAAGATCCTCAGTATCTCCATGACCGCCCTGGCTTCCCTGGCCTCCGGATGAACGAACAGTACCACATCATCAGCATACAAGCTGCAGTGGTGCTTGATGCACTACGGGATACTGATTAATTACCGAGTGTGATAAACACTCGGCAAATAAGGAGAAACACTCGGTAAATTTTTTACCGAGTGCCACACTCGGTAAACATGACTCGGTAAACAACGACTCGGTAAAGTTAGTTTACCGAGTGTCAACTAACGGGGCACTCGGAGAATAAATATTACCGAGTGCTACGCCGGCACTCGGTAAACAACTACGACGTGACGGTCGTCAGTCCCCAAGCTCGCCGTTATCGGCGTCGTTTACCGAAAGTGTTAGACATAGCACTCGTAAAAGCAGATAACCATTTTCATGATTAAAACAATTCCGCAAATATTTTTCCCTAATATAGTTTACCGAGTGTACGGTAACACTTTCGGTAAACATGTAACTTCGTTAACCGAGTGTTCCACTTTGTAAAAAATGGCACATATATCCGAGTGGGGTCGTGGCTTTCGGTAAAAAATGGCACCACTCGGCAAAATTAACAGAATCAGAAACAATTTGGTTCTGTTCTCTGTTTTACCGAGGGTAACACTCGGTAAACATGACCATTACCGAGTGTAACACTCGCAAAATTTGTCCACAGATTTTTTTTTGTTTGTTTGATTGCATATCGAGCCACAATTAACAACAATTATATCGAATATCACGATTACCAACAGATAGACATTATATATCACATATATGTCCACAAATGTCACATCCACTCATTATAACCAACATATAGCTACAACAAATGTCACAAGCACAATGCAAAGTCCACAAACACCATCAACATGTCCAAAGTCCACAAAGTTCAACCCACTTCTAAGTTCAACATACAAACAAGTGAAACATGGTCTGTCACATGGTCGGAGCCCTACCGAGAAAGCGGAGACAAGTCCAAGTCTTGATCATTGTTCGATCCAATTGTAGAAGGTCCCTGGAATGAGGGAGCAAAAGAAAATAAACATATTTGTCAATTAATCATTTAAGGTAGTATGCCAAATTCAAATATTCCTTCGAAAGACCAGATTAAAGTGACATCAATATATAGGCATATAATAGATAACACATATCAAGTTAGTTGTTGTTTAGGTCTCCTCTATGTGCAAGATATCGTCACACATGGTCGAGTAGATCTGAACATGAATTGGGCAAACACCTATGTACTCATGTAGAACCTAACATGATGCCTTTCAAGGTCTGAACAATATTACTAATAATCTAACTTATACATGTATGTATCCTACTCTCTTCTAGGTTCTAACATGATAGTGTTGATCAGTAGCACAATCTGAACTGAAAAAGCCTTTCAAGATGAAGAGTGACTCACAGGAGTGCCGCATGGAGGTGGAGGCACCAACGGTATCATCGGCAGGGGGAGGCGGTGGAGGCTGGCCCATGCTCGAGAAAAGCTGGCCATGTACTGCGTACCAGGCCTTCTGCGATCGGGCTGGAAGGCCTCAAGTGAGCTGCCTCTCGCGCCTCTCCCTGTGCCAACTCGGCCTGGTGCGATAGCCGGAGGGGCAAATCGGCTCTGTGAGGCTGCTGTGTGACTCTGCTGGGGGCTTCAATCTGGGCCTACAATTATTTATCACATAGTTAGAATGCAAATAAAGAACGGGTAGAAAATGAATGGACAACGAATGCAACAGAACTAACACGGAGTGCTACCACCGGGCCGTGAGAACGGGCGTATGGGCGGGGCTCGAACTCGTGCTCGGGCTCTAATCTGGGCGAGTGTCTATGTGTTGGCCGTGTCTATGGTGCTGTTGCCCATATAGTACCTCCCGTGTGGCTTACCTGGTCCCAACCTCATGACGATGTCACCTCGAGGTCAGCGGTGCTCGGATAAAATTTCGGCCCATGGATCTCTCTCGCCATCGCCGTGTACTCGCTGAGGCGATCGTGCACGCCAGTTATCTTGTATGCCTCAAGGCGGGTCCTCCGGGTTGTAGGCGAGGTCGGGTCCTTTGCCTTGCCCTTGTGTGCCAAGGCATATGCCTTTGAATGAGGCGCACTCTGGCCGGGTGGAACCGCGTCTCTGCAGGAAGAAGCACAACAATAAGATATTATGCATTTGAAGTTAGCGTAGCAACAACGAAATGAAATCCAGCGTACATATCTGGCTGCATATTCCTTGAGGGTAGTGGGCCCTTGTTTGTGCGAGGAACCCTGCATCATCGCACGGCAACGTGAGCGTACGGCGTGATATTGCTCGTACTCCTCACTCAACCACGTGTCCACAATGGCCTCCCAGCAGTAATATACAATTAATGTGATGTTATTATCAGCATAGTGCGATGAACACGTACCCACAGCTCTTTCATCACCCGGTCGGCCTTGCTGTTATAACACCTGCCAGCTCGATCAGTCTGATCGCTGGCGGCGTGCCAGTGGGACCACTTCATGGCGGGCTGCACAACACCATCGATCCTCACCATCCCGGGGTAGTTTGCCCTGCACAGAAGACCCAGGATCCCGTTTACTCGGCGAGAATGACTCCCTGGGATCACCATTTCCCAATCCCTGCACAAAGTTATTGAGATTGAATATTAGTTTCTGTTATAACTTAAAAACCTGTGAATTAGTGTTAACATGCAAAAATTACTTACTTAGTTCCGGATGGTCGAATCACCGGGCCGTCTCTGTATGGAAGGAAATGCCGGGAGGCGCGACGACCTCGCATCCAAACCGTAGGCACCCCATTTTCCTCTGCCACCAAGTCGGCATCCTCCTCGCGCTCAACCCGCTCGGAAGCATCCTCCCTCCGTGCCTCCTCCACCGCCTCCGCTATCTCCTCCCTGGTCTCCTCCTCCTCCTCATCCTCCTCCGTGGCCGCCACTGAACTCGTGGGTCGTCGTCCTGTGGAGGAGGTGTCGGCTCTCGACGCCCTCGTGCTGCCGCCGCCCCTCCTCCTCCACCCTGGGCTCCTCCTCCATCCTGGGCTCCACCTCCCTAGGCACGCCCTCGTCGTCGTCCTCCTCCTCCTCCCTGGGCACGCCCTCCACCCTCAGTCTGTGCACGCCCTCCTCCTCCACCCTGGCTGGACCCCTCGCCACCAGCCAGTAAGGTCATAACCGACCTAAGCTTCCTGATTCCA